CATGCCAAAAGACAGATCAAAAATTTTTGCATGGGGAGGATTTTGTGTAACAGGCAAAACAAGTTTGTTTTGCTTCCACCGAATAATGAATGCAGAATTTTACATCGAAATCCTTGAAAATCACATTCCGGAGATCGATGCAATACTTGATGATAACTGGAGGTTTCAGCAAGACAATGACCCGAAGCATACGAGTCGTCTTGCTAAAGAATTTCTCCATAATAATGTCCTGGAAGTCATAGACTGGCCCTCAAATAGTCCTGACTTAAATCCGATCGAAAACTTATGGACGATTGTTAAGGGGAATGTAGAACGCCGGATGCCAAAAAATCTTGATGAATTAGAAAGATTTATGACGGAGGAATGGAGAGCAATTTCAGAAACCGTGTTAACGAATTTAGCGAATTCGATGAAATGACGTTGCAAGCTTATTATCGAAAATAATGGAGAACGAATCTTCTATTAATTTATATTAGCAAAAAGAGCTTGTTTCCAGCTTTCAAATAAAAAAAAATTTTACATATTTTATATCCTCAACGTTAAGTTATAAGCTTTTTTTTAATTCCAGTTTTTTTCTTAACACACTGTAAATAGTTAGTATAACTGATGATCATTTAAGAAATTCTGTTATGCTAGTCAGACCAGTCTGGTCGCAGACCTTAACATCCCTAATTGTAATAAAATTTTTTGCAAAAAGTAAATATTTTCGATATGGAGCTTACATCAAGTGAAAACCGTTCAAAATTAAAATATCCAGGTTAGTCTGCTACCTTACACTCCTATTTTTACTTGTTAGAAATAAGAATAATAAATTACAAACTTTGAACATATTTAGAATATTGAGACAGGGATTTTAACACATAAGAATACGCTTATTGGATTGAAAAACAATCGCAACTGTCATATATTAATAAACACAATTCTCACACGACGTTAGGTGATGAGCTGAGAAACTTAAAACAAATATTTACAAGTTCACATTCTGCTTATAATGAAATCGATAAATTGCTGAAAGGGTTACAGGTATAATTAATAATAATATGCGTTTAACAGATGGTGTCAATGTACTCTATAGCTAAGGTTTTGCTGGTGTAAAACTAATGGGTAGTGCTGAGTGTACGTGGCCATAGAAACATTAGGTTGAGCCAAGTGTTCAAACAAAAAATATTCTCTTGAGCTAAACTTAGGGGCCAAGTGTTAATGAGGAGAGTCGAGTATCCGTAGCTTATTGTGGACTTCCTTCCCATCTTAACGTTTCTAAAATGGTACTTATTAAGTTTCTTAGATTGTTATTAAAAAATTCTTTCATATAGAATATTGCAAAGAACACAGCAAATAAGGAACTTGGGAATCAATAAATCGAATCAATTCACTAAAGATAGAGTCTGAGCTGATTGATTTGAAATCAGATCTTGACAAGGCAAATGATTTAATATAAACTTTTAATATATTTTAGAGACCTTCTCTCTAATTTTACTATTCAACTTGCTATTTACAGAAGAAGGAAATGCAAGCCAGCTAGTATTTCAGGCGAAACTATTTTTCAACTTCCGAAACGTTTCGTCCAGAGAATTTTCTATGATTCGAAACTATCTGAAACCTTTGAAACTCTAAATATGAAAAGATTTTTGCAGATCAATTTGGCAAAACTAGTTTTGCCCAAAACACTAAAGCTGGCCTTCGAATAACGTAATGAGGTTTTCAAGTGTATGCTGAAACAGAATTGGATTTCGTAGAACGCGAGCGAAAAAAGTTAAAAGTAGATGAATATAGCTGTAAAAAAAAAAGCCTCAAGATGCAGTGTTGGCAAATTTTAAGGTCATTTCCCTTTTTTGAAGTGACCTAGGTCACCTTATATATGATCACATGATAGATTTCATAGTAAAATCATCACATGATTAGGTCATTTTAAGGTCACTTCAAGGTCATTTACCAACACTGTCAAGATGAGTCAGTCTATGAACCAGAAATATTATCTGTAGAAATTGATTTGACGTCAGCATCTTCAAAACCTCTCAAGATACTGTCAATAAGATCATTTGCTGATTTTAGACAGGAAGCTGATTATTATCTAGACAAAACTAAGTTTATCTCTAAAATAGAGGGACTTAATGTTCATGCTATCCTTTCGCTACGTCCTCGTTGTTTTGGAAAAACATTATTTCTTTCTACTATATCCTCTTATTACGATATAAAGAATAAAGAAAGATGATTTATACAACTTTTTGGTGATTTATCCCTTAAAGCGTAGGTATAGATTGGCTATAAAATATTGTAGAAAAATTATAATATTTTAATATTTAGTGATTATAAAAGGATAAAATAAAATTTATTAAATTTGTCATATTAAGATCTATCTAATGATATTATTTTTAAATTTTTAAAATTAATAATTATTAATATATATTAATTTTCAATTTTTCAATTTTTTAAAATAATTTATTATTTAATAATTACAAGAAAATAAAATTTAGTTTGTTGGATTTATCTTATTAAGGCCTATTAAATGATTATATTTTTATATT